ACAAAGAAATTTACAACCTTAACAACAGTAGAACTAATTAAGAACTGAACTAAATTTTACAACTAATTATTACATTAATTAACTAACAGTCTCACTCAATAACTGTATCCTATCTCGTTCTTTATATCTGTCTCAACCGGTACTAAACCCTTGAAGAAAATTCTAGACGTTAAGCACGTACTCATTACTTGCCATCAAACCTCCCTTTGGCCAAAAACGATACAAGCTCTAGAATGAAGGACTTAGCATACGACAATAACATAGAAAATCAATCGTTCAGTTTGTACACCGTTTTCTTTGCAAGCCTAATACAAATAAATCCTAACATTGTTTTGGGTGAATTGCAGGTATGATAATGTTTAATACTCTATACATCATAAGATATCAAGCACCTTAAACAAATATTTCATCGTTTAGTGATAATCAAGGAAATGTCTAACCACGCATGCTTTACATTTGTATATATAGATATCCAAACTGGTTTATAATGATCTGTAAAATACAGAATTATTTCAATCAATGACTAATAACACCAAATAGTGCCGAAAATGTTATTTATGTGATCTAAGAAAATTACACGTTGATTTGCATGCATACTTTAACAACAACACATAAAATTAAGGTTTTTTTTTGTAAGACAACAACTCTTCATGAGGAGCAGAACTACAGAAACAAACGTAACTTATAAGATTCCATAATTACTACAATAAACTGCTTTATCTTTTGAATAATGTATCATTATGAATTTGTGAGAACTAAGTGTTGAAAGAAATTTCATAAACGACAAAACAGTAAACTAAAAAATAAAGAAAAGTCATATTAGAGTAAAAACAAAAAAATGTTCAACACTTTCGTTGTACAATTAAGCGATATTAGCTTTGTGTTTTTTTCCTTTATTTTTTTTATTTGCTCAACACTTCTGTCATTATGTTTTACAGATATTTTTTTTAAGTATTTGCTTCCGCCACTAAGTAAACTGGGCTCTCAGAAGATCTTGTTTGTTTGTTTTTTTAAGTTAAGCACAAAGCTACACAATGGGCTATCTGTGCTCTGCCCACCACGGGTATCGAAACCCGGATTCTAGCGTTGTAAGTCCGCAGATATACCGCTGTGCTACTGGGGGGCCTCAGAAGATCTAATAAAATGTTTGTTCAGACTGTCATGGAGATTAAATGTAACTTCATGACACAAAGAGGAACTAATGATGTAACCGTTTTAAAATATTTTAATCGTAATTCATATTATTAAACTCGTTGTGTTAGATTTTCTCGAAGAAAGTAAATTAGCTCTTAAATAACTTAGAATTTAGAGATCTTTTAAAAGAGAAGTTTAATATTTGATGATTGAGAATTAAGTATAAATTCACAGAGTAATGAAACATGAAAAGGATTCCTTACGAAATAGCTCCAATTTTGATTTTGAAAATGTAACTCGGATTATATGTATATATATATGGGTGTGTGTGGGTTTATCACTTTATGTAAATCAAAATGAGATTCCAAGACAAAGATAGTATAGCGCAAGTAAATGTTTGTAAAATAATAAATTTTAAGCTTCTTTGTTACGTTTCTCGAGAAAACAAGATATCAATTAATGGGTTTTGACACAAATGCTAGAATCGAAAAGGAACATCATTCATTTACGTTTTTATGTTAAAGTTTTTTTTTAATCTACCTCAGTCACATAATCTGGAACATCCTCAACTTTCTCAAAGGTTTCTTCTCTCGGGTCTACGATATAGAAAAGACGTCCTAATGATTTAAGGGTTATCTCTATCTTCATTTTCAGAAACCACCTTCGAAAGAAGTTGTAGGGTCCTATCGAGTGTGATTCCAAGTCAAGTTTCTGGTTAAAAAAAAGAGAGATAATACGGTTTTTGAGTGTTGAATAATTTAAAAAAATAATCAATCAAAACATGAAGTAAGAGTTGAACGAATGTGTAATGAAAGTTAGACAAAACGGTACACAAACATAAGCTTATATATATATAACAAAATTCTTAGAACATTGAACACATAATGACTGTGATAGAGTAGATCTTGTTTTTGATCACTGTCAGGAACAGTCTATAAAAACAGCACTCAGAATAACCAGAAATCAAGACCCAAGTACATAGCCAACCCTAATAACAAAATGAGTCTCAAGGCATAGCTCACGGATGCTAAATGAAAAATGGCCAAGCAGTCTCTTGATGAAGTCCGAACACTGTATTTGGCTGGGTATTAGCTCAATGGGTAGAAAAACCATCAAGGTTGTAAAGGGAGTGAGTGAAGTATGACCTCTGCTTTTGTCAGACGATGAAAAAGACTGACGCAAAGTTATTGTTTTATGTTTCTTATCCTTCTAGATCATGTCAAAAAGTGATAATACAGCTTTTAGATACAGATATGGCAACGTTTGCACTACATTGTGCAGACAGAAAACCATGGGATCCTCCGTTTTATCCCAATAAGCCAATTAATAGAAACATTAGGTGTTATGATGTGCAAGGGGCATTGCCATCTCTTCTTTCCAGGAATTTCGAAGAAGAAAGCTTTAAGTGTTGTCAACAAATCAACTATTCATCTAGAAGTCTTGAATAATGTGTGAGCAAGTCCAATATAATCAATACTGGTAATTCTAAGACAGTTGAAAACTTTTCATAAGGCTGTACACAGATGAAAAACAAAAGAGCTGGGAATGACAAAAATAGTGTTCAACCGTGAATATTCTGTTACAGGCATCAGGGGCCCGGCATGGCCAGGTGGATAAGGCGCTCGACTCACAATCTGAGG